CCTCCCCCTCCTCCCCCGTTCGCCACTACGTCGGAAGCCCCGCTCTATCCTAGCGGCAGCGACTAGGGGAGGGGGAAGAAAAGAAAGTGGGGCTCCTGAGAGGCGGGGGCAGGGGACGGGGCGGGGAAACGAAGGATGCCGAAAAGAGTTTTCTTCAGTTTTACCACTGTTACTTGTGCCGCAGCCCCTCTCCCCCCTCTTGGATCTGCCAATGTATTCACGAGAAAGTAAACGACCATTCGGGCGATCTCAAAACAAATTATGGTAGCTATTAGCTGGAGAGGTGCAGGTCAGGATCAAAATACTTGGCATAGCTCGTATTTCGCGTGAAATGGAGTATTCCAATAACATCACTAACATGGGATACCCCAACACCGATTGTTCAAATTCTACTGGCATTTTGAGTACCAGATGGGAGATAAAGAAGTACAATAAAATAACAGAGCAAAGTAGCAGTAACGTACGAAACAAGCAACAGCAGCAAGATGATAATTTGCAACGGTACTTGATGCAAAATCCGTCTAAATCAGACAAAAAAAAAACGGCTGAAAATACTTTGCTTATTAAGAATTTGAAGCGATTAGGCCTTTTTGCGGTTAGTAAATTTTTTGAGGTTATGACGGAGGATGCTCACTGAAGTTTTCCAAAAACTTTGTCGAGGAACGAATAGAGAGCGTGGGAGGCGAAAAAAAAACCAAAAACCTAAAATTATATCTTGAAAATGATCAAATCTGAGGCTCAGGATTTTCTAAAATTTTGAAATTATCATGAGTTTGGGGTTTCTGAAGAGCAAAATGCATGATTATCGGTCAAATCCAGGTTCATAAACGGCAAAATATTCAGAAACAGCGAACAGAATTTTCCCAAACTTGAGCTTTATCGCTTTCATGGTCCCAAAAATGGTTTATCAAGATATGCAAATACAAGTACAGAAAAAAACGGCTCGTCAAAAACGGACTTTTTGAAAAGTTCAGAAATAAAGGCACATAATTAACAAGCAAAAAAGAAAATTCAGGGTTATTTTTTTCACGATTAGCTTTTGTAACGAGAATTTTTAAAAAGACTAATATCAAAAAACGAAAAAAATCTTCGAAAAATAGTCAAAATTCGAAATTTTCGGGGTTGAAAATTTATTTTTTTCAAATATATTTTTCTTAAAACCAAACCAAACAGTTACCAAACCAAATTTATGGTTATTTAAAATATATCAATGTGCACAACATCTGGGATATGTGGGATAAATTCCAAAAATTCAATCCATCGAAGGATATCTCCATTCGGTTTGGGGGACCGATGTTTCCTTGATGCAAAGTGGTGAAGTCCAGCGTAGTGCATAATGTGGGCCACCAGCTTTGTCGTTTGTTCCTGAAAAAAAAATTTTTTTTTTTTTCAATCCACAGCATGTTGTGCGTATTATAGTGCAAAAAGACGAAGTCAAAGATGATCTGTGAGAATTTCCCATAATTTCCAAAAAAAAAAAAATCCCATTTTTTACTTTTTTTAAAAGGAATTTGCCTAGTTTTGTGCCTGTTAAAAGCTAAGGAGAATTCTGCAATATGAAGATTCTCTTTTGGAGCATCAAAAATCTGTAACTCTCGTTGTATTCGCCACAGGTGGAAGCGATAAAACGTGGTCCAAGCGCATCAATAGCAACCACACGTTACACGCATCAACAGCAACCACTCGCTGGTACAATTGTCAATAACTCCCCCTTTCGAGGGCAGCTTATAAGCAAGCTGATGGCGATTTTGGCTTCCAAGCATAAGCTAGTACCAATTTACCATCGAAACGAATTCCAGTCCAATCCAAAGGACTTTGATTATCCCGCTGGTGGAGTAGAATTTTCAAGTCTCAGCACGAATTTACGGCTACTAAAGCATATTTAAAGAGCGGAAAAAATTTTTTATCAAATTAAAACAGTGAGCAACAACAACAAAAAAACAAGTACCACTCATGCGTGCTCCACCGAAAGGCTGTTGTCCAACCACTGAACCAGTTGATTTATCATTCAGATACATATTTCCAACAGCATCTCGCAAAATGTCACGAGCTTTATACAAAAATTCCCTAAAATTGCGCGTGTTAAAAGTGTAGAAACAAAATTTTGCTGCAAAAAAAGTGTAAAAGAGTAGAAAAAAAAAAAAAAAAACAAAAAAAAGGGAAAAAAAAATTTTGCTCAATTTGAATCTGGACTATGGCCAGATGCTCGAATTTTGGTCAAATAAACAGAAAAGTTTCGTTTTTTTTTCTTTTTTTTTTCACTTGTTCACGATTTTCTTGTCTCTCTTCTTCATTTTCTTTTTTTTTTTATTTCTCAATCCGTTTTCCTATTTTGCTCCTAAACGATACCTCAGCTTCTTCCTTACTACTCATTTCAGTGTCTTAGCTGAGATCTCCCATTAAGCTGCTGTATTTTTTATTATGCGTTTTTGCCGTGCAGCGCTAGAGCGCTGCAACAGGCAGCAAAAACGCATATTG